TTCCGAAAAATCAAATCTTTGCATTACCGGAGGTGGCGCGGACTGGGGACGGTGCGAGGGAAGTGGAGGAGCAGGAAAAAAAAAGCTGGAAAACGGTTTTATTGCAGCGAAAAGTTAAATTTTCTGCAAATTTGAGGTGGGGTTAAAAGGTGGGAACGATTGATTGTTGAGGATGAGGAGGGGGAGGAAGGCTTCCGGCAGTGTCAGGATGGCCGAGTGGTCTAAGGCGCCAGACTCAAGGAATGACTTTCCCTTTCCCGGGAATTCTGGTCTCCGCATGGAGGCGTGGGTTCAAATCCCACTTCTGACACATCCTTTTCCCTCCGAAATTTCAAATTTCGAATAATTTTGATTTCAAATCAAAGACTTTTTCCCAAGAAAAATATTTTTTTACAAAGAATTCCTCGTTCCCCCGTCATCCCAGCGCTCGAATCAGGGAAAACGCCCGTTTTCCTGCCCCCCACCCCAAAACAAATCCCAAAACAAATCTTTTCCGCAGTGACGTGATATCGTCACTTCCCTGGTGGTCTAGTGGTCAGGATTCGGCGCTCTCACCGCCGCGGCCCGGGTTCGATTCCCGGTCAGGGAAAGTTACTTTTACTCACCCAAAATGAGATAATTCCCTTCCTTATTTAATTTATGCATTCCACTTATTCATTTATTTCATTTATTTTATTTAATTTCAGTTATTTATTTCATTTCATTTATTATTTTATTTCACTTATTTCATCTAATTTCATTTATTTCATTTATTTTATTGTATTTCATTTTATTTCATTTATTCATTTATTTTATTTCATTTCAGTTATTTCATTTCAGTTATTTATTTCATCTGCTCATTTATTTCATCTCATTTCATTTATAAATCATTTATTTTATTGCATTTCATTTATTTCATTTCCTTTATTTCATTTAATTTAATCTCATTTGTTTCATTTCGTTTCATTCATTTCATTTGTTCAGTCATTCACTTCACTTATTTATTGCATTCTGTTCCTTTAATCTCATTTGTTTCATTTCGTTTCATTCCTTTCATTTGTTCAGTCATTCATTTCACTTATTTATTCCATTCTGTTCATCTTATTTATTTACTTTTTCTTTAATTTTTTATTTTATTTTCATTTTCTTCCCCAATAACCAGCTCCGAGCCCTACCGTTGGCCAACTGAACTAGGCCCCCCACCCCAATCCCACTGGGGTCCCTCCTCACCAGGACAACCAGACACGATGGGTGCCTGCAAGGTCTGAAGACCTCCATGACCCCTCAACCCTCCCGAGATGCTCACCCTCCCCATGGAAATCTTCTGCCCAACCCTAAAACCGAGCATTTATTCCTTGGATGATCACCCCAATCTCAAAAATTGTGTCTCACAGTTGCACAACAGG